CGATTCCAGTTCTTCAGCCTTTCTTCCTAAGAAGTCTTTTCCACCCAGTGGTCCCGGTTTGTCCCCACATTGCTGGGAAAAGCAGCAAGAACCTAATCAGGCCCGGATTCAGATCCTTTCTGTGGCACCTCATAGGTGTGTGAGCTTAGCCAAGTCACCGGCCTCTCCGGAAAAATGAAAGTGGTCAAGGCAGGCAGGGCTCCTGTCATCTGTAAAGTGGCTTAACAGTCTCTAACGATCAGGTTGGCTGAGAGGATTGGATGAGAACATGCTGGCCAAGGGCCTCGCACGAGCCTGGCACACACTGGGTACACACTAAACATTCCTCCTCCCTCCCCCATTCTTCTTGCCCTTTCGGCCACATTCTCTTGACAGTGAGTGGCCACAGCTATTCTCATCACCCCATCACCGCAGCGAGGGGCTGACTAATGTAAGCCAAAGAGGACGGCTCACTTCCTGGCCTGTCACATGCCTGGGTTCTCACCACCCTCCCGGTGGCCCGTTCTCTCCGTAACATTCACTGCTGACTCAACTTGGCTTGCGGTCAGCTCTGAACCCGGGGTCTTTTTCAGCTCTCCCTTTACACTCTCCCGCTTGGACTTAGGGCATGGGACTGGGATCATCATTAGAGAACCTTCTGTTTAGGTGACCCCCAAAACAGGGCCCCTAGACTGGCAGCTTCATGAGGGCAGGAGCCCTGTCTGCCTTGGCCACTTTCGTGTTCCCACCATCCGGAACGCTGCCGGCGTTGCTTCGTCAGTACTTGGTAGATACGTAGTAGATATCCGTCGAATGAATTAGTGTTTTGAACCCGTTCCTGTCTTCCAGGAGATTCTCACTTGCTCTGAGGCAGCATCTTTGGAAAAGCACGTGAACAAAATCTCAAGACTCTAATTTACCAATAATCGAGCTCTAACCTGATTCCCACAAGCACGCACTCGGTCAGACCTGCATCTGAATCCCAGCTCTGCGAACCGTGGGGTTGGTGACTCTGAGCAGGTAGCTTATGGCCGAGCCTTAGTCTCCTCCTTGGGAAAATGGGATCTCAGCATCGGCCTGGGTGGTGGTGAGAATTAAATTCACACACGTTTGTAAAAGAGCCCGGCACGAGCTGGCAGCCATCTTGGTGTCGCAGGGTTCCCTCTCTCCGAAGCACCTCCCTCCTTTGACTGCCATTGCCTCCTGTGGTTTGGTCCAGGTCTAACCTCCTCTCTTAGACCTTTGTTCACTCGGCCTTCCTCCCTCTCCTCACTCCCAACGAAGGCATAGCCTACCTGACACCCAGCACACTCAGCAAACATTCGTCAGGCTAGCTCTTCAAATTCAGATGCCTAGCGGGGACCAGGCATGCGTGAAGAAAGCAGGCTGGATGGGATTTTTCCATGAACTCTCCTCCTTAAAAAGGTTTAAAATTTTTCCATTAAATTAATTTTTTTTTTTGGCTTTTCCTTTTGAAATAATTTCAGACTTACAAAAAAAAATTTTTTTTGCAAACATAATACGAAAACTTTCCATGTGCACTTTACTCAAATTTCCCCAAATGTTAACATCTTACATAACCAAATACTAGTATCGAAACCAGGAAAAGAACACCGTACGGTGTTATTCACTAATCTACACATCTAATTCAAATGCCATCACTTGTCATTGGTGCCCTTTTTCTGATCCAAGACATCCCATATGATTGGGTTGGCATGTCCCTTTCGCCTCCTCCGATCTCGGACAGTTTTTTATTTCATCTTTACTGGCCTTTATGACCTTCAGACTTGTGACAAATGCCCGTCATTTTGTAGCACGACCCTCAGTTTGGGTTGGTTTGTTGTTATGATTCATTCGAGCTTGTAAATTCGAAGCAAGATCCCCGCAGGAGTGATATCAGGAGACACGTGACATATCTCCTTACTGGTGACACTCACTTGGTCACTTGGTTACGATGATGTCTGCCTAGTTTCTTCTCTGTAAAGTTACTGTTTTTTCCTTTTGTAATGAGTAAGGATTTTGTGGGGAGGTACTTCGAAGATACTTCTGATGTATTCATTTCTTTACTCATATCTATATACATTCTTGGCTTCTGGTTTTATACAACGGGTTACAATCTATTACTGTAATTGTTGATTTTAATCTTGACACTGTCCTTTCTTGGCCAGTGGGAGCCCCTTTAAGCTGGCTTATCCTTTTGACATGTTCCCATCATTCTTTAAATACTCATCTTGCTTTCTGACAGAAGATGATACTCCGAGTTCATCTTGTTCATCAAGTTCATCTTGTATTTTCCCTGCCCAACTTTGGAATTAGCCATTTCTCCAAGGAGCTGCTGCTTTTAAGGAAAGAATGATATTTAGAAGCCCTAATTTGAGTGCCAGATGTGCCCATGATTATGTGGCTGTCACTGTCCCTGGGAAATCGATGTCTATATGATGCGTGTACACACCCACGTTGGTATTTCCGTATTTGTGCATGTCGAAAATCATGAGTTCGTGGGGATTCCTCCGTACCCACTCGCCACCACAGGTTGTATTCTGCTTTTTTCTCCACACATCCCTCCCTTCCCTGACAGTGGCACCTGACCCGCATCATCCTCACGGTATTTACTTATTCGATCAGTCCTCCCGTGTGTGACAATCTGCCATCTCTCCCTCCTCACCCTGACACTCTGCCCTGTGCCGCCACCTCCTCATCACCCTGAGCGGCCTCAGACTTCCCATAAAACTCTCAGTTTTGAAATGATGATTCATGTAGTTTTTAAACTATGTGGCCCAGTTTCTGCCTTTGGGCCCTGGGTGGTGACTGGTATGAACTGGACCAGGAAGCCAGATGGTCAGCCCTACCCACCTCTCTGGGGGGGGGGCCAATCCCTTCAGTCCCCTCCCAGCACCTCGTGCAATGGACGCTGCCTCCAGCACATGGGAACCGACCCTGCCCTTGGCCTCTACTGCTCTTCTCGCCACCTGGGCTCCTCTTGGCCTGCACTCGTCCTTCCTGCCATCCTCCCGCCCCGTTCAGATGTCACCTCCCGTGGGAAGCATCGCAGCTTCCCCCAGGCGCCCTGCCGGGTTCTCCGAGGCCCCCAGCTGACCCCATGATGGCGTACCGCTGCTTTCTCTTTCCATTTCCTTTGTCTCTGCTGCTGAAAGACAGGCCTATAGCGCCGATTTTAGCCCCACATCCTAGTGCCCAACAGAGGCCCAGCACATAGTAGGTGCTCATAAGTGTCCGTCAAATGAGGGTTAATAATAGCAATACTCAAACGACACTTCCTGGGCCCTGGGCACTGTTCTAAGTGCTTTGTGTGCTCTCAGTCATTTGTCCCTAACCCCTCTGCTGTGAGATATTGTGGTTGCCCATTTTACAGATGAAGGAACGGAGGTATAGAGGAGTTAAATAAGTGACATATGCAGGGTCACACAGTGGCGGAGTCACATTTGAGTCACATTTGAGTCACATTTGGGCTGACTGCAGTACCTGCTCTTACCTCTCATATGCCTCTATCAGGGAAGGGGTCAGTGTGTTCAGAATAAGGGAGGTGAGTAGGTATGGATTGTTGAGTCCCATGGACCCCCCACAACCACACTCCCAGACCCCATTTCTAGTGACCTCAGGGGCCCAAGCACCTGTCTGAGCTGGCAGGAGGGAAAGTGAGTGGCACTTTGAAACTCGTTTCTGCCCCGAGGTCTTAGGAAACCGAGCATGTTTCCCCTGCTGCTTGAGCGAGCGCACAGGAGTCGGGCATCAGATCTGACGCGATACTTCTACGTCATTGCACTGAGCTAGCAGGGCGCCAACACTGTTTCCCCATCACTGAAGTCACCAAAGGGGAACCACATGTAGCCTCGTCACCCCCAGGGCCACAGCAGCCGTGCTTCTCCGAGCCAGGCTCTGCTGAAGGGCCTGGGAACGTTGTGTGTGCACTTAGAGCTCATGGGCCGAACTTGCTTTATGAGAGCTGTCTGCTCAGAGTCAAGGGCAGGGGAGAAAGCCAAGGGCATGAGGAGCCTCCTCGGTGAATGCTCTCGTGTTGAATCTGCCAGACGTTTATTCCCCTCAGTCCTCTCAGGAGCCTGTTGGGGTCTGGGAGTAGTAGCCCCATTTTTACAGATGAGGGAACTGAAGCTCAGAGAGAGGAAGTCGTTTTTCTAAAGTCACACAGAGAAGAAGAAGACCGGCCAAGATTCGAACCCAGGGCGGTCTGATGCAGGGCCTTACCTCTTATTAAACAGAGGGCCAGATTGAACCCCATGGAGTCTGTCTGACTCCAGAACCCCCAGATCCTCCCACCACACACCACGACCCCTGTCTGCTCTGACGGGATCCCTACAAAAGAAAGAGCCTGCTCCGTGTCTGGGGCAGAAACCCACGTTAAACGTGACCGTCACGGGCTGATGCTGTGGCCCCAAGGCAGGACTGGCTGTGAACTTGGTGCCGTGGAGTTGAGGAGACTCTCTAAGAAGCAGGCCTCAGGAGCCGGGGAGGCGGGAGTGGAAACAGGAGGGTGAGGTGGAGGCGGAAAGGGAAGAGGGGGTGGAGAGGTGACGCGGTCAGGACTGGGGCAGTGCCCTCCAGAACTCAGGGGAGTGCCTTTCCCCGTTCCCGTCGGCGTCGGAGAAACCTGGGACCCGGGGGTTCAGTTTGTTCCATAAATGCCTATTGAGGGCCTACTACGCGGCAGGGCCTCGCTAGGTCTGGGACGGGGCAGGGGACCAAACCTCACCAGGCTCCTGCCCTCATGGGAGTGACATCCTGAGGCAAGGAGACCAACCGAGGAACGTAAACAAGTGACGCTCGTCAAGGTCCTCTTGGGCGCTCTAAGTGTCACTAGGAAGTGTGACAAGGGTGAGGGCAGTGTGTGAGGGGGTGGCGGTCTCATCGGAGGGGGTGTCTGTCCCAAAGGCCTCTTGGAGGAGCTGGTTCTTGCCAAGCCACGTGGCACTCCAGCCAGCACCATTTCTCCTGAGACCCACCCTTTACGCCCCCCTCACTCCTGTCCCCTTTGCTCTCTGCAGGTTTGACATCTACAGGAAGGTGCCCAAGGACCTTACCCAGCCGACGTACACCGGAGCCATTAGTGAGTAGCCTCCCTTGTCACCGTTGCCCCTCACCCCTTCCCCAGCCCCGACACCAGGGCCCTCCATCCCCGTGAAGAGCTGCTGGGCCAGGCAGGAAAGGAGAGCCAGCAGGAGGGAAGGGCATCTCTCCAGGCCCTTCGTCCAGTTCCTCGTTTCATCTGTGTCCTCACCGTAACCCGTATGCACAGGCGGCATCTGTTTCTGGGAGGACACATGAGAGACGGCCCGTAGTAGCTGCCCTGGGAGAAGAAACAAGGATTTGGGGACCAGGGAGAGACCTTCTTTTCTCTTTATACCTTTTAAACCATTTGTGTGTTCGACGTATGTTTTTTAACCATTAAAAAAATAATAATCTCACCCAGATTTTGGTTTCTAAAAGCCATTCTTCGATCAAAGGACCCAGGGCTCCTTGGAGAAATGGCTGATTCCAGGGCTAGGCAAGAAGGGTACAAAATAAGTTTGGAATGCATTATGCAAAGACGTGCCCGGAGGGGAGGGGGAAATGGGTCAGCAGAACAGAGGGACCGGCATGGAAGGGACCAAAGAACAACCCTGGGGCAGTTGGAACAACAGAACAATAATGGCATTATTGACTTCTAAGCCAGCGAATTAAGAAGAAGGTTCATGAGTCCATACTGATCTAAATGGAGGGGGGAGAAAGGGTGCCTCTTCCTTACAGAAGAATTTCAAACACTGTATGCGAATCCTTCCCTGTCCGGGAGCTAGAGCTCAAGTCTCCTCTCCTGGCGTGTGGGCTGGACTTAGTGACTCGCTTCGAAAGAGAAGAGAGTGGAAAAGAAATAGTCACAGTCACTTGGCTGGGCAAATAGCACCTTCGCTGGGCGATGACGGTTGGCATCGACCCATGACGTGTGATGTGGGTGTCACATCCCAATGAGATGTGATGGGAAGGGCACTTGACCTCCATGAGCTCGTCCCCCAGGCCGCAGTCCAGTCTAATCATAAGAGGACATCAGACCGCCCCAGACTGCGGAGCAGGCCGCGGGACACCTGACTAGGACAGGTCTCGAAAACCCAGGAAAGACCGAGGAGCTGTCACAGCTTCAAGACTCAGGACACGTGATGAGCGAATATAAAGTGGGGCCCCGGATTGGTTCCTGGAACAGAAAAAGGGCATTAATGGGGAGACCGGCCATCTAAATAAGTCCATAGCTTAGTAATAGTATTGTACTGTGTCAGTTTCTCCCTTATGACAAATACACCAGGGTTATGTAAGATGCCAAGATAAGGGGAAGCTGGGGGAAGGGTATAAGGGAACTTTCTGTACCGTCTTTGTATCTGTTATTACCCCATAATAAAAAGTTTCTTTAGGAAAAATAAAAACAAACCAAAAATGTCATGTAAGCGGGAGTGACTTAACCTCGTTTTCTGGATGAGAAGATGGGCTCAGAGAGGTGAAGTGACTTGTCTGAAGTTTCTCAGCTCGCAAAGTAGAGCCAGGGCTGGGACGCACCCCCTGGCCTCTCCAGTGCTTGGTGTGGGAGCGGGACCCTCCCTACAGATGGTCCCCTGAGCTGGGCAGTCAGGCCGGAATCTCCCCTGCCCTCCCAAGGTAGGCCATTGTCAGGTAGGGGGATGACCTTGGGAATCACCCCGCTCTGCCCGGCCCTGCCCGGCTCTCCCTCCCTCCAGCTCGGCTCCTGGAAGCTGCGGATGCTGTCTCGAGTCCTGGGTCTCCACATCCCTGGGAACAGAGCAGCCAGGTGTCAAGCTGTTGGCCCCACAGGCTCTGAGGTCCAGCAGAGCTGGGTTCATTCTCCCGCTTAGCAGCTGGGTGACCTTGGTCAAGTCACTTTACCTCTCTGAGTCTCAGTTTCTAGGGAATAAAGGACATCATGCCTGTCAAGTGCGGCATATGTGCTAAGTCCTCGGCGCATGGATGACACACACTCCTTATCACCATCTCCCTGGAGTCCACAGCCCAAGAGTGTCTGTGACCACAGAAATTGTGACACTTTGTGCCTTGATCCCCACAGACAGGATATTTGGGGGACATGAGAGGAAAGGAGTTTGTTCTTCCATCTGTTCAACTAGTTTATGAACCGGGGTCCAAAGAATTCCGTGAGGCTTCCTGTCCCGTCTCCCACCAACTTACAGCTCAAACCTGTTCTTGGTCCCCTACAATCCCTTCCTGTCAAGTATGTTTAACGACCAGGAGTGTATCCTTCTAGAATTAAAAATATATGTATTCTGGCTTTGATATACCCGTATCTTTGTTTAAGCAAAGACGGGCGCATGCCATGCGTACTGTCTTCCCTGCCCTTTGTTCAGCCCATATGTCCCGGACACCTTCGTGCCAGCCCTTAATCGGTCCCCACGTTCTTCTTTCCAGCTGTGTCATATTTCATTATGCGGGTGACCCACGGTTTATGTAACCAGCCTGCCGAGGGCGGACATTTCTGTTTGTCATGTACTGCTATTACAGACACCCTCGTACGGTTACTTCTGTTAAGGTAACTTTCCTAGAAGAGAAAGTACTGGGTCGAAGGGCACGTGTGTGGTCAAATTTGGAAGATGCTGCCAAATGGCCCTCAGGAGACGGCCTGGTTTGCAGCCCCAGCCACGGCGTGCATGGCAGCACATCCCCTCACACGAGAGGCCTGGGAAGCCGGCTCTCAGCTGCCGTTCGGTGCACAAATGTTTATTAACCAAGTACTGGGACCGTGTTGATGAATGGGCTTTGGCCTTTGTCCTGGAGGAGCAGACACAGAAACACAGCGTTTCATTATGTCGTGAGAAGCGCTATTAATTGAAGGAACTGGCAAAGGCGCTGGAGACTCACAGGTCAGGTTTGGATTTTACGCCTCAGCTTAAGCAGCCGTGTGGCCTTGGACCAAATTCGTTGGCTTCCTGGAGTCTGGGTCTTTAGTCCAGTGCCCCCTTTGCTGGCTGTGTCACATTGCCCACTCATAAGCATTCTCCTGGGGCTTCATTCCTGCCGTCCGGTGCCTGAGTCAGTCTCAGGAGTCTGGAGGCAGAGAGCCTTCGCGTCTTGCCCAAACATGGATTGAAAAATCCTCCTCAGTATCAGAGGTCTTGCTGGCTGAAAAACTTGCCACCTGCCTTTGCATTTTTCATGCATTCATTCAGCAAATATTTATCTCTCACTTTCTCCGAGCTAGGCACCGTGCTAGACCCCCAGGCCACAGTGATTCTGAGACTCCATCTCTATCCTCTCAGTGTGGGGACAGGGGTGAGGGACCAGACGCAGCCCATGTGATCAGGGCCGTTGGACACTTGGGTTTCAGCTGGGCAGACTCGGTGCTCGTCGTGGCCCCCTGCCCGGGTCGACCAGGCTTTGTCCTGGCTTTGAACAAAGCACACAGGTTCCAGAAAGGGGCCTTGCCAGCCCTGTCCCTCCACCTCCGATCTGGACAGAGTGAGACCTTGGGGGCTCGTTTGCAGGCTTGGGGCAAGGAAGGCAGCTAAAAGACTTGGACTGGTCTAAGTCAGTGCTGACCTTCAAAAACACTTCCTTATTTTGTCCTTGTCCATCATCGCAGTATCCCGTGTGTTGCTAGGGCGGGAGGCGTGAAAATGGTTCTGAAGTGTGAGTCCTACGTGATGTGGTGCCGTTCAGGTTTCGGGTGAGGGCGTCTGGCCCGCTTGGTGGGGTTCTTTTCCAGGACTGGTTGGCAGGTGAAAAGGGGGAGGGGCAGAAACTGGGAAGCTCGGATTGGCAGCTGGGCTCCTGCAGTGGATTCTCTCAGCTGCCGGAGAAGACATTTGAAATTCATCGCTATGCCATAAAAACAGACAAGCATGGCCACTTTGTACAAATTGACGTGATACCTGCTTGGACGTAGATTGCTGAGTGAGCAAAGCGCTGGCTGGAAGGATGTATGCATTATGCTGCCGTTTGCTTAGAAAATGTAAAAAGGGATCTACGTTTATGCTCAGATGCCCGTGGAAGGACACAGGACTAGGAGGGCGGTCCCCGGGGTGGGGGGCTGTGGGTCAGGAACGAGGAAGGGGCTCACACAGGCTGCCTTTTGATGCCGCCTGAGTACGTTTCTCCTCATGCGCATGTATGATCTCTTTCCCAAAGAAAAGTAAAACTTTTTAATGCTGCCCTGTGCTTCTTTCTCAAGGTTTGGAGGAATTGGGGAGTGAGTCTAGTATCCCCTATGTCTTGGTGTGGTTTTGGCAGCTGGGTGGGGACTCTGGGGGTGTCCTCGGCCCGCCCTTCACTTGGAGCCCGAGCTCTTGGGGTTCCTTTTCTCAGGGCATTGGCTGTGGAATGCACTGGTTCCAGTTCTCTTTTGGGGGCCACCACTTTGCAGCCTCTATTCGTGTGTGTTAGGTGGGGGGAGGATCAGTCCACACAGGAGGGTCAGATCAAGACCCAAGGTGGCCCACCTTCCCAGGAACGGGGTTGCTTCATATCAAGGCCAAGAGTAGGTAGGAAGGGGCTTTGAGGGTGTGCGGATGGGGAGCCCCTCCCCCTCCCTCGAAGCAACTTTTCTCCGAGAGCAGAGGGAGGGGAGGGGAGGGGAGAGGAGGGGAGGGGAGGGGGTGGCCCGCCAGCACCCCTGCCCTGCGCCCCTAACGTGCGTCCCCGCTGTTTCTTCCAGTCTCCATCTGCTGCTGCGTCTTCATCCTGTTCCTCTTCCTCTCAGAGCTCACTGGATTCTTAACGACGGAAGTGTAAGTCCCACCCCCACCTTGGCGCATTCCAGAGACAGGGAGGGCTTTAAAGCGGAGAGAACCCTCTGAACCTTCCAACGCCCCATTCCCAAGCTCGTGGCGTGGGCCACTCCTCTGCCTCTTGAAAGGTTTTTAAAGTCGGAGCAAACGGGGATGCCGCCTTGTTAAAGCCGAAGAGGAAACCAGGGTTCTGTGGGGACTGAGGGGAGGGGTCCCGGGTCTCCAGATGAACAGAAATCATTTACGCTCTTTGCCATCCCTCTGTTCTGCCGGGGGGCTTTCTCCCCTCCTCTGACTCATCACGGGGTCGTGGGATGTGAAAGCCGGGAGAGTTCAGAGGAGCCTGCAGCTTCCTACCCGAGGGGGCGAGGTCACTGACATCAGAGCCCGGCCCCCTCGCTGAGCCCCCTGCCCGTTCCCAGGCCCACATTGCACAGCGAGGAAGCCGTGTAGGCTTCCTGGCAGCAGCTGACGCATTGTGAGTCCATCCCTGGTTCCTAGTGAATGTTCTGGGCCGCGTTTAACACAGATGCCATTGGAATTATTCAGTCGCGGCCTCATCGGACGCCCCTCTGAGATGGAATCAGACCCAGGAGCTTCCTGCCTTGGCCACAGGCTTGAGGCTTCCAGGCCTCTTAGTTTCCATGTTTACAGCCCAGAAAGTCATCACGGGGCAGAGCCCTGGCCGCTCGCCCCGCTGATCAACACTGGAATTTTCTTTTGCACTCAATGGAATTTATTGGTTTCCTTTGCCTCCCTCTCAAGCTCAAGACAACAGGACCCTGAAAACGTGCTGAGCCGAGATGGGCCTCGTTGCCGTGTAAGCGTTAACAGATGGCCAGCGAGGCAGTTGTCCTCTTTACAGATGAGGAAACTGAGGCTCAGAGAGGCAACGGGGCTTGCCCACAGTCTGCGGTTCGGAGGGGGCTCCCGCAGCCTGCCAGTCTCTCTCTGACCCCTAACTTGTTTCTGGATATGGCTCCCCACCCTTCACTGGTGCGGGAGGGTTTGCCCTGTCCCTCTGAACCTGGTTTGACCCCTGATGGCACCAAAGCCCAGGAGGCCTCAGCCAGGGGTAGAAAGAGCACTGGACAAGGTTTCGAGGGACCCAGGCTGGTCTCTGCTCGATTACCACTTTGCTCTGTGAGCCTGGGCCTGTTGCTGAACCTCTCTGGGTCTCAATGTCACCGGCCAAACAAGGGACAGTGAATCAAAGTCACTGGGGAAGCTTATCTGCTTCCTAAGGCACAAACCCCTACCCATGCAGGGGTCAGAGAAAGGACTTTGTGTCTCACCCCATCACACATCGAGCCCCCAATGGGGGATGACCTGTCCGAGTTGGATGTCTTCCTATCTGTGCACATTTAGGCCATTGGCATCTAGGGGTTATCCATCACGAGTTGCAGGTGGAAGGAAGGAGATCAGCAAGAGATTGAGACTTGCTGGCATTATGAAGGACCTACTACGTGCCAGGCACCTGCTAATCTTTCTAGGCTGCACCCTGTTCCCTGGGAGGAGGATCGCCGTGCAGGCCCCTCATATTCTGAGCAAGACGAGAGGAGTACTCATGTGACAGCTACAGGAAGAAGCCCCGGCCGTGTCCCTGGCACCAGGGCACTAGCAAGTGCAAAGGCCCCAAGGCAGGAATTCCCTGGTCTATGTGAAGAGCAGACAGCAGGCCGGCGTGGCTGGAGCAAAGGGAGCTAGCGGGGAGGGTAGAACATGGAGCAGGTGGAACGGTGCGGGCCAGGCCCTGTACACTGCAGTCTGTTTGTGGGAATCATCCTTGGCCCCGAGGCCCCAGAAGTCAGGGGCCAGGTCTGCCTTGATCACCGCTTTGTGGTTCCATGCTCGAAGGAGCCGAAAATGCCGGCAGTGGACACAGACGGTCAATGAGCAAACGACACTAGAATATATCGATTCGTGCTTAGGCCTCTGAAGGGAAGAACGAAGCGGAGCAGGAGACGGAGAAGGTGCGCGCTGTTCTGTGAGGCTGAATCGGGATTGCAGGCGCATCCCGGAGGTGTTGCAGGTTGGGGTCCAGACCACAGAAAAGCGAGTCGTAATCATTTTGCCGGTGGAGAGTCTCACCTTCCATTTGTGAAAACAACACCCGCGAAGCGGGGTAAAGCCTGCATTTACCTGACAAGTGCGCACTGTAACGCTTGAGATACTTTAATGGCTATAGATCCAGATCTCTCGGCGCATTTACTTATTTCATATTTGATCCCCATCTAATACTAAAAAGGCGGTAGGGCCGCTCGTTGCCAACACATAATAAGCACTCTGTGAACGTTCATTCCTTTGTCTCCTCCCTCAAGTTCAGAATAGGCCTCCCTGGCCCCCTTACTGACCTTTGGAGGGGTGGCTTATTAAGCCCTTTGTCAGCTCAGCCTACAGTGAGGGGGCCCCAGACAGGTAAGTTTTGACATCAGAGCTTGTGCCTGGAGCAGGTGAGGCCCCACCTGCTGGGTGAAGGGCCACCCTGGCAAGCCTGGGCGACTTCTGTTTACCCAGGGCTGGGCCCTCTCCTTTCCCATGAGCACAGTGTTCCCACCGCCCTGGCCCCGCTCCTCTCCAGGACTTCCTCTTCCTGGCTCCCGGGGGCATCCTGGACGCTGGTCCCACCGAGTCCCTGGAGAGGAAGAGAGAGGAGGGCGAGGAGAGCAATCAAACCATGAGGGGCCATTCATGGAGTGTTCGCCTGGTGTCCGGCCCTGGGCCAACAGGGCAGCTCCGTTTGCAGTGCGAGTGGAGGGAGCGAGGGGGAGGGACGCGGGGATGAGCAGAGAGGCCGGTCGGGGCCGGGCTCCATTTGTGACGCTGCAGTGACCGTGCCCCGCTTCTCTCTGCTGCCACATAACCATGGTATAGAAGTTGCCCAAAGGGAGTCTGCAGGCGCGGGGGGACCGAGGACACTTCAGAAGACTCCAGAAGGAAAAAGCATTGCTCTTTGGGGGTCTTTCCTGCAGGAGAAGCTCGTCTGGGAAGCCCAGCCGATTTGGGAAGAACCAAAGGTCACGATTCTTGTCCTTTTCTGGGCGGCCGGCCCTCCCTGGCAGCTGTGTGACCACAGTGGGTCAGTCCCCCACCCCCTGCGGGTTGTAACCCAAGGAAATGAGGTCACCGCTGGTTGGATCAACATCGCTGCAATCCTGGCCTGTGGTTATCAGTGACATAAGCCGCTATTCTGGCCTGGCCTGGGGGGAGAGAGGCCTGTTTGTTTGGGTGTTTGGACTCTAATCTGGGCCCTGGACAGGCCATTAATTATCCTTGGGAAAGTGGCCCCACAGGGTGCTCTGAGGACTCAGTTTCCAGGGGAGCAAATCCCTCCCCTCTTCCTCAGAGAACATGGCCACAGAACATTCCAGCCTTTGCTCAGGCTCTGGCTGCTCTTAATTAAGCTGATGAGGGTTTAGAATAAGAAACTATAGTCACTGGAATTCTCCATTGACGATTTGTAGCATAATAGAACTCACGATCATTTCGAGTCCTGATCTGTAGTAGGCGACCGGGTGGCAGCCACCCAGGTTAGCACCGTGAGATGATCAGCTCGTCGAATCATCACAAAACCCCTTGAGGTAGGCACTGCTGTTGGCGTTAGCCTCGCTTTGCAGCTGGGGAAACTGAGGCACCGAGAGGTTAAGACCACAGTGAGGTTAATAAGTGGTGGGACCAGAGTCGAACGCAGGTCTGTCTGATGCCAGAGCGTCAGCCTCGCCTGTCTTCCCATCCCTTTCTGCCCAGAGCGTTTCGGAGCCCTGGGCTCCCGGGAGCCATGGCCTCTCGGTCAGACTTATGCGCCCTCCCCAGATGAGGCGGCCGAGCAGGCAGTCGCCCACCCAAAGGGACCTTGGAGGTTACCTTGACCGACGTCCTCACACATTCCCCCAGGAGGCCCATAGTAGGGAGGCCGGTAGCTTGACCAGAAGGAGGAGCCGGACAGCTCTCTCAGAGGCCAGGTAGAGAGCCACAGTTGTCATATGGAGCAGTGGGAGGCCCGAAGGCTTCTGAGCACAGAGTGACAGGATCGGGTCGGTGCCTGAGGAAGCTCACCTCTTATGAAGATGGGTTTGGGGCAGGGCGGCCCTAGAGGCCAGGGCCCAAGCGAGGAGGCTGGACAATGACCCAAGGCAGAGGGGCTGAGCATCCTGGGGTGACAGCTGTGGAGAAGGGGTGGGGACAGGACTGGGTGTCTGCGAAGGGCTGATTCGGGGACATTGTTTGGGTACTCGGGTGGCAGCACCTGACACCCCCCGCCAGACGATAGCTTCCCCAGTGCAGAGCACGTGCTCACAGCATCTGTGCACGGAATGAACGAGAGGTGACCAGCTGCACTGGTGGAGGAGTGGGCGGCGCCTTCCAGGTGGGGGACGCCAGACGGCGTCGTCGGGGAGTCGGGCGGCCAGCACGGGGGTGGTGGTAAGCCTTGGCCATGTAGGGAGAGAGGACTGGGGAGGTACGGGCGGGCAGAGTGGAGGTGGGATGTAGTGGAGGGCCTAGAAATTCTCGGCCGAGGCGTGAGTGTGCTGACATCTGTGGAAAACAATTTTATTTGCTTTTGGAAAGAGCACTTGAATAGTTCGGATTCCTGCCCAGCGTCGGCGACCTCTGTGTTTAATAACTGGCTTTAGCGGAAATTTATGCAGAGGTGAG